TGTTAAGGGAAATGTGAAAGAGATTTTTAATTAGGCTAGATATGCAGTGGTTGTGAAAACAGTTTAGTTCTACAAGTACGAAATACTTTTCATTAGTAAGGTAATAGCATTTGATTGAAAAATGCATTTATAAACCTGTATTTATATGTTTTAAATAAATGTTAGCTGTTACATAACTGAGTTACTTTATTTTTGTTAGTAAGCTTAGCAAGCATTAAAGTGTTTTCGTATTCTAACAAGAGAATATTATTTATTTAGCTGTTACTATTACTAGAGAATCTTTATAATTATTAAAGTGTCTGCTTGCTATTACTGTTTTTATTTTCATTGAAAGTAATTTCTTTTGTAGAATATGAGAACACTAGTGCTGGCAACATGGATTTTTATAAATATAGTATTTTTTGGAGTATGCATTTATATGTATTTATTATGGTCATATTATTGGATGAATGATGGTAAAGATGTTCAATCTACAACACTAAATTATGACCAGGAAATTTATTACTACAACCATGGATATCCACAATCCTATTATAATGATTCTAATAAGAATCATAATGTAACAGAAAAGAGATTTCGAATTAAGCATTCATTTAAAGATAACTCCACAGTGATTGTTCTGAAAAACAGTCAACCAAGATTTTTGAGTTTACAAACCAGCTTTCATATGGATACGAATAAATATGTTTGTTTAAAAACAGACAATGCAAGTACATGCGAAGAAAAAACACATGCATACAGAAAAAATATTCTAGCAGAACTTAATAAAGTTTTAGTGGAAGAGGGTAATGTCCTTAAAGAAACAAGTAATCTATACAATGTAACATTCACAGGCACAAAGATGCCTTACTTAGAAAACACACCACAAACTATATTAAAAAAGTTCTTATCACTTAAAGTACACACAATAAAAAAGAAGGATATTGAGTATATTGATAGCCATTTCAAAAATTACCTTCCTAGAAAAGAATTATTTGATAACCGTTACTTCAAAAGTTGTGCTGTAGTTGCAAGTTCTGGGGCTCTCAGGGGGTCAAACTTGGGAAGAACTATTGGTAAGTTATAAAACACGTCACTTTTCACTCTTTTACTTTGTTTACTCGTTGCTGCGAATGTGGTTATTATTTTTAAGGAAATAATGTTATCAGGATAGCATATTGTGATATTGCTGTCACAGTCGGTCATTATTTACTGTAGTCGGCCATTATACTTTTCAATTGTCGTTAGTGTCGGCCATCATGCTTTTTGTGGTCGGCCATTATAATTTGTAATTGTTGTAGTATTGTTGTCGATGTCGGCCATCATGCTTTTTGTGGTCGGCCATTATAATTTCTAATTGTTGTAGTATTGTTGTCGATGTCGGCCATCATGCTTTTTTGGTCTGCCATTATAGATTTTTAGCGCGCCCTTTCAAATTTGAAATTCAAAAGTTTACAAGAGATATGTTGATACAGAAAGCTGTATGCTAATAGTAATTCACTTTTAATTGAATATACGACAAATGCATGGTAGTAAAATAAACTGTACAGTATTAAAATTAAATTTACAATAAAAGAACAACAAAAACGTCTGATAAACGTTCAGTTTCACTATTATTTTTCTAAATAAAGCAATCGCTCAAGTATCATACTTTATTTTTGGCTCATATAAGCCCCTTTTTGAATTGTTTATTTGTTCCTTTGTCTGTTTGTTTTTAATTTCGTTGTTGTGTATTTGTTTCTTCAAAAGGAGCGAAATAACCTAATCGATTGTTTCAAAACAATTACCGAGAAAAAGCAAACAAAAAAAAATAAGGAAATAGTTGTAATGCGAGGGCGAATGTATGCAATTATTTATTTATAAAATTGACGACTGAAAAGAAATTTATTGGAGTAGTTTTACTTTAACTGTGCGCTTGTTTGGGGGAAGTTTGAGGCCTGTTACTTTTTTAACTGATTTGTTTTCCAAAAAGAAAAATGAACATTTTTCCTTCAATATCTTTTGTACTTATTTAAGAATACTATTATTGATTGTATAGATTCGTATAACGTGGTACTTCGATTTAACAACGCTCCTACAAAAGGATTCGAATCAGACGTGGGACGAAAGACCACTCTGCGAATTGTTAATTCTCAAGTTGTATCTAAAGAAGGTTTTCTCCAATCAAAATTATTTGAGAACGTAACATTAGTTGTATGGGATCCTAGTAATTACACATCGACTTTAGAAGACTGGTATCATCACCCAGAACATCAATTCTTTACTAACTATAGGAAATATAAAACAAAATTTTTAAAATCGAGATTCTTTATCGTGAATCCGAAATCATTGTGGGATTTGTGGACATTCCTGCAAAGTTCCATGATTTATAGGATAAGGAAAAATCCTCCATCTTCAGGATTCCTAGGTGAAAATAAATTTTTATGTCTACAATTGCTTTTGATAAATGTCTTGTCGCAGTAGTTATTTTTGTTAATATATAAAGTGGTGGTAAAATCCCTTTGTGTAGCCTGAAGTTTAGTTTACATATATAAAAGTTTATATGTATCTTTTTTATTTTTTGCAAGTATGATTATCTAAAAAATTGTGAAAATCGATTTTTGTTCAATGTTACTTATTCTGTGAATGATCCACAAATCATATCGGAAAAGGGTCACCACCAAACATTGATTGTAAGAGGTCAGTTCTCAACTATTAGTGTATGTAATTTAATTTTATCTAAAGCAAATTTTATAGTTTTAATTACTTACTGAGACAGACAGATTATCAACTTTCACTGCGTGATATGCGTAGTAATTAGTAGACGTTGAATAATAATCATTTTAGGAATTTCTATACTTCTTCCTCATTGTGACTACGTTGACGTTTTCGAATACATTCCATCGGTAAGGGTAAGTCGAAGGTGTCATTATTATGATAGAACCGATAATCCTGCTTGTACATTTGGGGTATGGCATCCCTTGGCTGCCGAAAAGCTACTTTCCTATTTTTTAAATACTGCTAACGACACAAGCGTTTTTCAAACAGGCTTTATTCGGATACCCGGCTACCAAGTAACTCAATAATTTGGGGTGTCTAGTTTAAATAATAAAATAATTTTTTAAACAGTTCCTTAGGTAATACGTATAATGGCTTGTAAAAAATGATAAAAAAAAATAGTAAATGTTAGCAATTGTTGAGAGTTACGCAAACGAATCTCGTTATCAGTAATAAAATAAAAAATATTACGTTAAGTAAGTCAATACGTTTTCCTATTTATTGTACCTATTATTGATCATATTATCTATAAAAAAATAAATTATAAGAAGACTTGTGGGTAGTTATTTTATACGAAGGAGTTTTTTACAGTTTTTTAATGATTTCATATCCATTTCTTGCTTCCTTTTTTCAAAATTTATTAGTAACATAATTTTAATCCTTACCATCTATTTTCCCGAGATAAATTGAGGTAAAAATCTACCTAGATCTACCAGGGGCAAATCAATAAACATTAATAAGGATTTTCACCATTGGAATAGCTGGGGAGTTTTCCTGGGGTTGAAGGGGGGGTAGCCGACCAGCTGTTGAGTTAATATTTAAAAAGGAAATAAAGAAACTATCAAAAAATAAATAAAAAAAAAATACTTCTTAAATGGAAGGTTTGATCCGCAGCTTCGATCTAATTAATTTTTTCTATCCTTCGGGAGAAATATTTTTTTTTGGATAAGTTATGTGTGTACAAAATTTCATGATTGGTTTTACTCGCGTGGATGTCTTAAATACGTGTTAAAAATCGTCAACGAATACATAAAACTATTTCATTCTGTCCCTGGAGAATAGTATTTTTTATGGATAAAAGGTACCCTATGTCCTTCCCTGCATCCCTGACAATATGTGCACCAAATTTTATGATGACCGGTTCAGTAGTTAAGACGTGAAATGGTAGCAAACAAACAAAAAAAAATTCACATTCCTATTTATAATATTAGTTACGATTGTTCATTATTTTAGGGTGGTCAATAAGTGAGTTTTGTAGGGTGAGCACTCGAAACCCATGCCCTCCTCCACCCTCCTAAACAGTTCTATCCAGATTGATATTTTCTAAACAATCTTTACTGAATGCGTAAAATCTTTAAATGTCTCGTTCGAAAATCGCTTGTCAGTTTTATTACAGAAATTGTTGTGATTTATGCAGTTTTACCTGTTCTAATGTATAAGAATATTAAATACATACTTGAATATATAAAAACTAATTACAGTCAAACTTCTTTAAATTGAACTTCCTAAATGCATTTAATTATGATTGATTTAGTGAAAATTCCAGTTCCACAGTAAGCTTAAGATCCTAACTTAACTGCTTACTTAGTTACGAGAGTTAGAAAAGATTTCGAGTTATAGAAGTTCGACTGTACATGCATTTATCAATATATATTGTTCACTTATAGTTGTATACATTTTTATAGGAAATACCATTATTTTTACCAATAAACAATAATTGTGATATTTATATGTAAAGGCTGTTTTAGCATCAATAATAAACCATGCTTCATGACTGATTTCAAATGATTTCTATCCTATATACATTTATCATATAATCTTGTATCTTAAGTGTCCTTAAAAAATGCATTATTAAGTGACTTTTCCGAAGGATTATTACTAAAAGGTAAGAAAAATCTTTTTAATTTCACGATTTATTGAGTTTCTTTTGATCGCAAGACATTTATTCTTTATTTTTTTTTTATGGTTGTTGTTTTTAACTACATAATACAGTCCAAATTCTAAATCAATCTAAAATGGTTTCTGAAAAAGTTTGAATTATTAGACTGAGGTTTTCATGAATAAGTTTTTAAGATACGTTTTTAAATTTAATTGTTGATGCTAAAAGGACAACATGAAGATGTACTCCAATTTTTGACGCGACAATATCCTTAAAAAAGTCCTCAATCAAAGGAAGAAACAGTCCAATAAAAGTGTTTTTTTTTTTATTTAAAAAAAATTACATATTAGGAGTACAAATATGATCACGGAAACAATGGAAATTAGTTGTATAAGTACATTCATTATTCAATGCAGTTGTACTTAATATTCATGAATGTGTCTGATAAACCATTACAACCACAAATACACATGTTTATTGAAGTTGTACATTTGGTGGTTTTTATCGATCAAAATTAGTGAAAATTATGAGCACTGATCAAACTCATAGTCATACTATCGAAAGATAGATATCTAAAAGTCATAGTTCTTCATAGTAATCTACATATCGGTGGTTTTATTTATTACTTTTTGTCATCAACTCGATACCTACGAACAACACCACACCTTCGTTTTATAACGGAGAAAATTATGAGTAATCGCAAGCATTCGCCGGAGTCAACGAACCAAAAATCTTTTCGTGATGACAAATTTAAATCAAAAGACGATAACAGATCGACGTCCTGTCGCATTCATATGAAAGAAAAATGGTGAAACAATGGGTCCAATCCCATGATAAATGGTGTAGTTTGACGAGGGGCTGGTCGATCGAACTTTCATGATTAATTCAGTGACGTGCAGCTCTCATCGAAACATTATTTTTGCTCATTATAAAACTGCATTAAGTTCTACTTTAAATTTAGGCACTTAAAAGATATCGTTGATTAGAAAACATAATACACAAACCGCGATCCATCAACTCTAACTGTAATGTGTTATCAATGTGGTACATATAACTGATGAAGAAGTCTCCTGTAGTAGCATCCCCATGAGGAATTTTGCGTTTTAATACTTTGTTTATGGTTAGTCTATTTCAGCAAGACTTTATATTATTTTCTTGTAGGAGACGAAAAATTAGAAGAAGTGGCTGATTTTAGGTATCTAGGAAGTTAGATAAGTCAGGACGGAAGAAGTGGTATCGAGTTGTCTTTAATAAAAAGAAGTCGCTTCTATGCTCGCGAACAATTAATTTAGAAATTCGAAAAAGGTTGTTAAAGGTGTATGTTTGAAGCACGGCGTTGTACGGGTGCGAAACATGGACAGTGGGCGTGGTGGAAAAGAAAAGGTTACAAGCTTTCGAAATGTGGTATTATAGGCGAATTATGAGATACCGTGGACAGAGAAGGTTAGAAATGAAGAGGTATTAGAAAGAATAGGAAAACAGAGGACTCTATGGAAGTTAATAACAAATAGGCGAGATTCTCAGGCATGAAGGTCTAGTCAGAGACATATTAGAGGCAGAAACAGGAGTTAGGAGGGGTAGAGGTAGACCTAGATTAGATTACTGTTCGCAAATACAGTGTAAACCATATATAACGACACTTAAGGGACTGAACATTTTTCTGCGTTATAAAGAGTGGTCGTTAAATGGAGAGAAATAAAAGATATTATTTTACTATTCTATAATAATATGCATTTACCAATACAGTACACATTTTGCACAAGAACATTATTATTCATACATTGCGTATAGTCCGTTATCTTCGTCTGATGTTCTCCAATATTTTAATTGTATTTTTTTATGTATCTTACTCATATCTTGAGATACTGTTGGATCAATTTGATTATATAAAAAGTATTTTTTTAATAGTTTCGCTGCATCAAGTGCTTGTTTGATACTTGGTGGAGGGACAGGATCGTCTCCTTCAGCAGTGTCCACAGCTGCAGTTATTATCTATTTCGGCAACTTAGAAAGTACTGCTTAATGCTTTATAATGCCGCACAGTTGTCGTTAAATAGAGTGAGCGTGACGCTATATAGAGTGTAATATTGTATAGAAAAAAATGTAAACCAACCAAAGTCAAGCAATTTCGACGTTGTAAGGAGTTTGTCGTTAAATCGAGTGACGTTATAATGAGTTTACACCGTAGTTAAGGATGTGGGTTGTTCTAGTTTTAGGGAAATGCGAAAATTAGCTTAGGATAGAAAAGCGTGGAGGTGCGTGTCCAACCAGTCTTAGGACTGACGATCTTATGATGATGATGATGAAGTGTATAACACAAAATTTCCGTACAAACCATGTTCATCCCACATAAAAATTTATTCCAGTGGAATTTTACTCGTTCTACGATTAGGTATTTGTCCTTAAGTTTAAATGCGATACGGACTACGTTCGTACGTAGATAGTGTATTTTCTTTTGTACGCTACTGATGTATTCACATTTCCACAATATAATATTGTCATGAAGTTCAAGTGCATCGTGTTCACAGAATAAGAAGTAGGCGCGGTGTGGCCTCAACAATAGAATAACCGAACAATCTTCCGCTTTGTAATTCACGCTATAGTTCTGCGGTCAAAAAAAACTGAAAGTTATCTTCGATGAAATGTAGGTAGAGGCATACACATTCACGCGACATTCAATTTTATCTTGAACGTGCCATGCATGCATTACAAAATAACAAACAACTGATATTGTTTTGTTTACTTTACTTTGATCTGTCTTTATCTAGGATTTCGTATGTCTACATGAAGAAGTGAAATCCTTATACGACCTTTTTGTTGTGACTGATCATCAGAACCCCTAGTTAGGGTACTCATTTGATAAGAAGGTCTCTGAGACTTGTATTTCTTCCACCTGAAGAAGAATTTGTTTTGTTTTCTCGATTCAATCATTAATTGTCAATTTTAAACCTCTAAACCACCGACTAAACTGTAGTTACCGAACCAATTGTGACTTTTAGGATTTCATGTTTAGATTGGTGTTTGCGAAATGTGTTTCTCATAATCGAGTTAATTGCAAGTTCTTTTAAAACACCTGAGGGAATATTTTAAAGAAGCAGTAAACTGGTTTCAAATAACTGCTGCTCGACTTATTTATATCCTAATTAGAATTTCATACTACACTTTCACTTCATTCAATGAATTTAATCAGTTTACTAGAATCGCAGCTGCTTCTGTATTTTCTTTCTTTTATAGGAAAATATCTTTAATTTTATTCGTTTTGTAACCAATGCAGACTAACATTTACGTTTTAATGTTATTGCAAGTTGAATATAAACTGAACTGCTAACGTCCGCATCTTAAAGAAAAATTTTAAATAGTTATCAAATAAAAACCGGGTGTATTAGATCTATATAAAACTAAGCTTTTGCTTGAGAACACTAAGACGGGATAAGAAAAGCGAGGAAAATGCACGGAGGGTTTTCCTTTGAAGTGTAATGTTGCGTTGAAAATAACTTATTGTCGTCGCCAAAGTCGAAGCCGTAGCTTTGAACAATTGTAAAGATTTGTAACTAAACCAATTTTCTCATTCGTTTTGCCCGATTTTCTCAGATCTGTCACCCCCACAATGCCCAATATCAGACAACACAACGGACGTCCTTTTTCTAATATTTTTTATCGGTTGAACTTCGTCGAGAGTGACAAAATGTGTTGCCGTTTTAAATATTCAACAGAAACGCGTACTGAATATTAACATCACTAAAAAGTAACAAAAAATACTGATTTAATTAATCATCTAATAGTCTCATCGATAAAAATGTAATAAAAATAAAGTGATGGTAAAAAATAGCATCGTGCATGTCTCCTGAGTCATATTTCAAAGTAAGTCCTTTTATCTTTAATAGCACAATTTATAAAAATGTGCAATTAAATTATTCGAATTTATTCTTTTACAATCAATGTGTAATTACATAACTTCTGCAATAATCTCAAATGGTCCACTTTGAAGGACCTGAATGTCACTTGAACTCGCTTCTCCAGATTCTGAACAAACCAAGGAATTAAAAGAACAAGCACAAAAGGATTATGATTCCTTGTCAAATGTTGTGACAGAGAACAAGTCTTGATGTTGCAGCTATGAATGTAGGAACTAACAGGACTTTCCTGGATATCATGACACCGAATCCTTATTAAGAATTTGAACATTGCACCTGTTTGTTCCACCGATATTTTCCGTCTAAGGGTGTACCAGGAATTGAAAGAACAAATACAAAAGGATTATGATTCACTGTCAAATGTTGCAACAGAGAACAAGTCTTGAAGTTTCAGCTATGAGTGTAGGAAGTAATAGGACTTTGCTGGACATCATGCCAAGGAATCCTTATTGAGAATTTGAACATTGTTCCTGTTTGTTCCACCGTTGCTTTCCGTCTGAGAGTGTACCAGGAATTGAAAGAATAACCACAAAAGGATTATGATTCATGGTCAAATGTAGCGACAGGGAACGAGTCGTGAAGTTGCTAGTATGAATGTAGAAAATAAGAGGACTTTCCTGGACATCATGCCGCTAAATCCTTATTGAGAATTTGAACATTGTACCTGTTTGTTCCACCGATCTTTTCCGTCTAAGGGTGTACCAGGAATTGAAAGAACAAATACAAAAGGATTATGATTCACTGTCAAATGTTGCAACAGAGAACAAGTCTTGAAGTTTCAGCTATGAGTGTAGGAAGTAATAGGACTTTGCTGGACATCATGCCAAGGAATCCTTATTGAGAATTTGAACATTGTTCCTGTTTGTTCCACCGTTGCTTTCCGTCTGAGAGTGTACCAGGAATTGAAAGAATAACCACAAAAGGATTATGATTCATGGTCAAATGTAGCGACATGGAACAAGTCGTGAAGTTGCTGCTATTAATGTAGAAAATAAGAGGACTTTCCTTAACATCATGCCACTAAATCCTTATTGAGAATTTGAACATTGTTCCTGTTTGTTCCTCCATTGCGTTCCATCTGAGGGTGCACCATGAATTGAAAGAACAAGTACAAAAGAATTATGATTCACTGTCAAATGTTGCAACAGAGAACAAATCTTGAAGTTTCAGCTATGAGTTTAGGAAAT